CCTGGTGGCTCTCAGCTTAGAGGGGATGCCCAGGCCAGAGCTGCAGCCAGGACAGTGACACGGGCCTTGGGGAGGGCGTGCCGTAAGGAAGTGGAGGTGTCAGCAGGGGGGCTTGCAGGAGGTACAGCTGCCACAGTGCCTAGAATGTCACAACAGCTGTCCTTGCTCCACCCAGCCACTCCACAGTCTCCCCACCTGTGCCCCAGCCTTGGTGTTCCCCAGACAAGCCCAGCATTCTGGAAATGGTCTTAGAATTCTGGAGATGCCTCCAGTGGAGGCCAGAGCCAGCAGGAGCTGCCTGGTCCCTGGTGAGACCTGGTAGGAGAGGAGCAGGCCTGCCCTTGGGAGCTGGAGAATTTGAGGATCTACATGTACACCCAGGAATTACAACATCTCAGGAGAGGAGGCAGGGCCACAGCGGGCCGCACCACAAGCCAGTCTACCAGTTCCATGGTTTAGTCACACACCTACCATGTGCCTGGCACAGCCTGGATGCTGGGATCCTTCAGAGGGAGGCCCAGTCCCTAATTTTGTGGAATTTACAGTCAACTCAGAAAGACAAAGAGAGAGACGTGTGCAGTGAGGAAACCAGCTCAGTGCTGGAATGAGGGTTGTAGAGGTGCGGTGGCCATGAGATAGAGTGGTCTGGGAGGGCCTCCTGGAGGAAGTGGCACTGAACTGAGACCTGAAGAACCACAGGGAACCAGTCATGGGAGGGCATGAGGAAAGACTGGAGCATCTCAGGAGCAGAAAGGCTGTGTTGAGCCAGGCGCCCAGCCCCGGCAGCCATAGGGCGAGAAGGCCTGGTGGCTCTCGGCACAGAGGCACAGCAGCACAGCGGGGCAAGAAGGGTGGAGGGAGGTGCACAGGTTCAGGGCATATTTTGGAACTAGAATAGACAACTCACTGAAGGATTGAATGTGAGGTGTGAGAAGTACGGAGTCAAGGGTGACCTTGCATTTCAGGAATGAACTGCCATTCCCTGAGGTATAGAAGCCGGGGAGAGGTGCAGGTTCTTGGTGGGGTATCAGGAAGTGGAGGTTCCTTTGTTCCTTTAGATTTTCTTTTTCGCAATTTTTAACTTTTCATTTTGAAATTCCAGACTTGCAAAAATAGTACAAAGAACTCCCATTTACACTTCACCCAGCTTCCCCAAATGTTAACACCTTAAATAGCCACGGGACCACGCTCAAACCCAGGAAATTAACACTGACACACCGCAGCTAACTCATCTGTGGACCTCACTCAGGTCTGTCAGTCACTCTACTGAAGTCCTCTTCCTGGACCAGGATCCAGCCAGGATCACATGTTGCGTCTTGTCGTCCTGTCCCCTTACTCTCCTCCAATCTCTGTGGTGGTTTCTCAGTCTTTCTTCATCTTTAATGACATGACACTTTTGAAGAGTACAGGTTGGTTATTTTGTAGAATCTCATGCAATTTGGGTTTATCTGGTATTTCCTCAGGACTAGCTTCAGGTTGTGCGTTTCTGGAGGGACAGTCACAGGAGAGATGGAGAGTTGTTTGTCCGTGTCAAAGTTGAGACGCCTCTGGGACAGGATGGTGGGGATGTCAAAGCGAGGCTGGACTAAGCGAGAGGGCAGAGGGAGAACTATAAATTCGAGTGTCATCAGAGTAAGAAGTGCTTCCCCAGCCCCAGTCCTGGATGAGGCCCCCCTGGAGAAGGTGTGGAGAGAGAGGTGGCCCAGGACTGGGCACCGGGCACCCCACGTGGGCAGTCCAGGGGAGGAGACGCGGCCAGTGGGGTGGGAGAGACCCTGGGTGAGCAAGAGGCCCTGGGAGCCAGGAGGAAAGGAAAGAGGCATTCAAGACAGCTGATGGCCCTGGGCTTAGGGAGCTTGGAGGCCCCCGAGGCCTTGGCCACCTGGACACGAGGGCTTCCTTGGAGCGGTGGGATGGGAGCCCGACTGGAGAGCACCGGAGGAATGAGGCGAGGCAAAGGGGAGACGGCGAGTGTGGACAATACTTGTAACCTTTTGCAAACTCTCAGGGAACAGAAATAGGCTGGAGCTGAGGGGAGATGTGGAGTCCAGGTATACTCATTTAAGGAGGAGGGTCAGAAAATGGCCTGTATGCTGATGGGAACAACCCAGCGAAGCTGGAAAAGAGGTGACACAAGACACAGGGACAGAGTGGCAGAACGTGAGCGGCTAGGGGTCTCTGGGGGCTCAAGGCAGTGAGGGAAGAATTGTGGCAGTGGGGATACTGAATGTAGGTGGTGGTCACGTCCTTCTTCGTGGTGACTTGGATGATGGGTGGCTGAGGTGGGGGGAGGAGAAAGTGATTGTCAGAGAGGATGACAAGGACCTGAGAGGCCAGGGGGCACCCAAGGGATGTGGGATGCTAATGGGATTGGGGGAGGAGAAGAGAGACACCCTAAGAGTTAAGCCCTCTGTGAACAAAACAGGAGGATGGCTGGACCAGCTACAAAGAGGGTACACAGGGGGTGGCTGGTGCCTTAAAGAAGTGGTCCACAGGGAGGGAGCTCCGTGGGATTATGCCATATCTCTGTTCCAGAATGAGGTTGGTCGGGGATGGACTAGGGATCCATTCCTTCCAGGCATGCCCACCCAGAATTCTAGCTGGGAGAGGCTGACCCTCCACATACCCACCTGGTGGCACCTGATGCATGAACACGCACATCACCCATGTATATGGCCAAGGGCTCACAGCTCCCACTGGCATGTGGCATTGCACTTCTCTACATGCATCACTTCGTTCTGTTTTGCTGCCTTCAGTCCTCTCCATTTCTTTTGCGCTGTGTCATTCTTTGCCTGGATAGTGCTTCCTCCATGAAGCCTCCCTTGATTTCCTCCATCAGAAGCAATCACTGGAGCATCTCCCACTGCCCCTGCCTCTTCACATTATGATTGCTTGGTTACTGCCTGCTGTCCCAAGAGGTGGTAGTTTCTCCTGGGTGGCCCAGTTGCTCCTACAGGGTGTGATACAGCGGTAGCTTCCAGACTGCCTGCAGTTCCCACTTTGTCCACTAGATGACACAAGATGCCTGTGACTGGGCCCATTGATCTGAATTTATGGGGTCGGGGGGCGCGGGGGCACTCTTTGGGTCTGTTTTCCATCTGCAGCCAGCAAGCAGGGGACTTTACAGAAGATCCTCATCCACCTTCCAGACTGGGAAACTGAGGTCCAGAGAGGGAGAGGACCTGCCTGATGCCACACAACAAGTTAACAGTAGAGTTGGGGCTCTCAGCCCCTGTCCTAAGCTTTTTTCTGCAGTGTGGAGTGGGCTGCCCCCACATCCTGCTGCAGTAGACCAGGCCTCCCCTGCAGCCCCAGCTGGGGGCCTAGTTGAGCTGAGACCCCCACAGTGAGCTGGCAGGCTGAGGAGTTGTTGGGCCTCCTGCCCACAACTGGTGGCCAGATGGTGGTTGAGGGGCTGTCCAGCTCAATCTCCAGCCAGACATTGGCCTCCAGCCCAGGCTACAGGCCAAAACGTCTCCCCAGGAGACAGAGGCAGAGGAGCTCTACCCCTCCAAGGGCCCAAGATATAGTCACCATTTTGGCAGTCCCTGCATAAGTACCTCTCACCAGGTTATAGAGCTAGTTATGCCCCTTGCCCAACCCAGGTCAGGGCCCCTCCTCCCCTTGGGAGGAGGCGTGTATGTGTCAGAGGGACTGGGTCCTTCTCACACTGACTCAAGGGGCTGACCTGTTTCCCTCCCAGGGATGAGATGGGGAGGGGAGGAGGGGTCCCAGTACCGCTCAGGAGGCCCCAAAGCAAAAGAGAGTCCCGGGAAGGGACAGGGCTGAGTGAGGCTTGTTCCTAGCCTGCTGTGCGGCCTGGGCCAGCTCCTTCCCTCTCTGATGCCCCCAAAATTTTCTGATGGCCATCTGGGGGCTCGGCCTCATCCATCTGGGAGGCCTAACTTGCAGAAGTTTCTAAAATCCTGGGAGCACAAGTTTTGGCTCAAAGTTGAAGTATTTTTAGGGCCCAGGGCTTCCGATTCTAAGTGTAGGCGTCTGGGGTAGAGTGGAGTTGCAGCTGCTGGGGGGCAGTGACCGGGGCTGCTGCGGGATGGGGGACATGGGGAGGTCCCCTCATTTGCCCCAGTTCATCCCCTCAGCCTTGTCTCCTCCTTGTCCCTCTTCTCTGGTTCTCCTGCCCCCTGAATCAGAGCTCAGGGCCAAGGGAGTGGGGGTGTGAGCACCTCCCTCCACCCTCCCTCTGGAGGGATCATGGGTGTGAGGCCTACAGGGCAGGGGGGGGACTCTGGGAAGAACCTGCCACTCATTAAGTGACACTCTGGGCCTTAGGCCTCCGGAAGGACAGGATGGCTGAGGGAGGCGGGCAATGGGATGTTCCCTGGCACGGGGTGGATCCTGCTCCCTGCCCCAGTGAGCTGGGGTGGGGCCTGGGGCCCAGATAGGAACAGGCCTGGTGGAAGAGGCTGGGCATTCATCTCTTGCCAATCCCAGATCTGTGAAGTATGGCCAGACCTCAAGCTTCCACCCCAAATACGGAACCCCTTGGGCTAGAATGACTCCCCCCAGACAACGAGGGCCCTGCCAGGGGAACTGGGAAGCCAGACTTCAGGGGGCTGGACTCTCCTGGTATTAGGGACCTGGGCCCAGAGTCAGTTTGTGGGGGGTCTCTGTCATGAGCACTGGAGGGGCAGGGAGCAAAGGAGAGCCCAGCCAGACCCCACCCAGCCCACCAACCTCTGGCCTCTGATCTCTGACCTCCCTTCCAGGCTATCTCCCCCCTTGATATTTTGCTGGAACCTGGGGACTTGGGTTTGTGAACATTTCTGTGTAAACCACCCACACCCCAGCAGGGAAAGTCTCCCCAGTGGGGAACTGGTCAGTCTGACACAGAGGCATCCACAGGGCTGGCCGGGGTGGTGGAAGAGGCTACAGGTGGATGGCGGCGGGGACCTCCCCCCGTCCTTCCTCCTCCCCGCCTTCCTGGATGGGGTGGAGCCACTGCCTTATAAGTGGCAGGCCTGGCGGCAACAGAGCAAACTACAACCAACAGCGGGACCAGAGGGGGCTCCGCGGGCAGCGTGGTGCCCTCGGTTCCCCCCAGCATGGCCCCCTCGGCCTGGGCCATCTGCTGCCTCCTGGGGGGCCTCCTGCTCTGTGGGGGCAGCCCCAGCCCCGGCCCCAGCGTACCCCGCCTGCGGCTCTCCTACCGAGGTATGGGCAGTGCGCGCCCTGCTTGTGTGCATGTCCGTGGGAGCCCTGGACCCTGTGACACCCCCAGCTGTGGGTCCCCAGCCAGCTCCGGGCAGTCTGTTCTGCCAGCTGGAGAGATGCAGTCACTCCCTGCACAGCCCGTGGGAAGGACTTCGTGGTCATTCCCAGGGATGGTGCTCCTGGTTGGCTGCCAGAGGCAGGAGCCAGAGCCAGCAGGGAGGAGGGCTGGGGGAGAGGGACAGGTCCTGGGAGACATGGCCAGGGTGGAGGTGGGAGAGACAGAGACACATAGGGGGAAGCTGAGGGGGCTGCTGAGAAAAGGAGAGAGACAGATAGAGACCCTGAGAGACCTCAGTAGAGATGGGCAAAGAGAGATGGGGAGGGGGCTGAGAGGGCGTGTCTGGAGGATCTGTCTGCCCCCAGCCAGGGCTCCTTGCCCAGGGCAGACAGTGGAGGGGCAGAGCAGCATCCTGTTCTTTTCATCCCCCTCTGCAGTCCCCACAGCCTCACCCCCCACCTGCCCCTTGCAACCCACTTCCCAATGCTGACCTTTCCTCTTCCCTCTCCATCCCAGAGACTCTTTGCAGCCCAGAAAGGATTCCAGCCTCCCCTCTTTGTCCATCCTGGCCCAGGAGGTTCCTCTGCAGATCTAACTTGATATGTTGTGCTGCAGCTGGCACAGGCCCTCTCTGAATCTGTGGAGATGGTCCACGGGAAAGGGTCCCTGAGATAGGCAGAACCCACAGATTCTTCTTGGGGAAACCAGAGGGGTGATCACCTTCCCCTGGGAACCCTAGTCCAAGGGAGGAGACCCAGGCCTGCTCTGGAGAGTCTGAGGGGAGAGACATAACTCCACTCTGAAGAGTCTGAAGTGGGTGTCTGCAGGGAGAATGTGCTCCTGCCCTGGGAGCTGTGGTTTTGGGGGGTGGTCATGCTACAAGAAAAAGCCCAAGTAGAGTGAGTTCCCTCCAAAGTACTGTCAGCTGTGGAGGGCCTCCTGGAAGAAGCCTGGAACAGTTTGGGGATAGAGTGGGAGCTGGGTTGGGGATGACCTTTTGGACAGGCAGAGGATGCTCAGCCTTCTCAAGGGTGGCCAGCACCCCTTCCCACCACATCCTGCTGCCTGCCCCCTTGCCCGCCCATTGCCTCCATCTCCCTAACTGAACCCCAAGGACCTATATCAGGATCCTCAACTCCTGGGACCAGCATCCCCAGACAGCCACCCCCCATCCCTGAGGCCTGGGTAGGCAGTGTCTATGGAGGAGAAAATCCTCTTTAGCCACAGCCCTGGCCTAGAGCCTAGAGCTCTGCCTGGCCACACTTGGCCTCTCCCACACCCAGGCCTTTGCCATGTGCTCCTCTGCTGTGAGCGCTCTCCCCTGCCTGTCCCTCTGTCCACTCGAGTCAGCCTTGCACGATGCTCACCCACCCTCCTCCAGGCTCTCTCAGCACTTTGCCCAGCTTGCTGCCATATTTCTGCCAGAGGGGCCATCTTCCCTGGGGACTGGGTAGGGCACATGTGGGCCAGTGGGAAGAAGATGTTAACTGAAAGATCAAGGGACTAAGGAATGGAGAGCTAGGAGGCAGGCCCCTTGGTGGGCTGGGCTGGGTGGAGGCTCAGAGCCTCTGTCCCACCCACCCCCAGGAGCCATTTCCCAGAAGCTCTCCAGCAGCCCTGTGCATGGAAACATTTTCCAGATGTGAGTGTGTGGGGGGTGAATGCATATCTGGGACCCCCCACCTCCACGCCTTGGCTGGGGAAGTGGGCTGAACAGCAGGCCCTAACCCTCTCCCTTGCTCCTTCCCAGACCTCCTGTCTGCCAACCGCTCTGCCATCTTTCTGGGTCCCCGAGGCTCCCTGGACCTTCAGGCCATGTACCTGGATGAGTACCGGGACCGCCTCTTTCTGGGGGGCCGCGACGCTCTCTACTCTCTGCAGCTGGACCAGGCATGGCCGGATCCCCGGGAGGTGAGCTAGACTGACTGGAGAGAGGGTCTGTCTGAGAACTGGGCATCTTGGGATGGGAAGCTGGATGGGGAAACTGAGGCCGTAAGGTCAGGAGTCAGCTGGGCTGTGTTTCAGGTCCTGTGGCCTCCGCAGCCAGGACAGAGGGAGGAGTGTGTTCACAAGGGAAGAGATCCTTTGGTGAGTGCTGTCGGGAGTGACTGACCTCCAACCCCAACCAACGCCCAGGCCCTGACCCCCGGGATAGCCTGTGGCCACTCCCCCAGGTGCCTGTGCTGGGGGCATTTGGAGCAGAGCTTCAGGCCTTTTGAAGGTCTGTGAAGCGTGTCACCCCCGCCTTAGATCCCCAGAGCTGATCAGCCAGGCAGGGCTGAGCCTCGGGGCCCAAGGAGACGGTGAGCATCCCTCATCTCCACCACCCCTCTTCTCCCCGCTAGACGGAGTGCGCGAACTTTGTGCGGGTGCTGCAGCCCCACAACCGGACTCACCTGCTGGTGTGTGGCACTGGGGCCTTCCAACCCACCTGTGCCCTCATCGCTGTTGGGCACCGTGGAGAGGTGAGCCTGAGGTGGGCCCCACAAAGGACTCCGAAGCGGTGACATTTCCTCCCTGCTGCCTGAATACTCCCCATTGAGCCTGTGTCAGGGCAGAGGGGTCAGGGGCCTGAAAGGCGCCTTTGTGCCAGAGAGCTGACCCCATTGGCGAGGCCTTGAATGAGGGCACCTTCTGCCCAACCCCCATTCTCCAGCCGCACGCGATGGCCCCTTCCTGGGTCGGGGGGCTGGTGCTGCTTTCCCAGGTTACCACTTCCCTCCCTCTCCCCCAGCATGTGCTCCAGCTGGAGCCCAGCAGTGTGGAAAGTGGGCGGGGGCGGTGCCCGCATGAGCCCAGCCGTCCCTTCGCCAGCACCTTTGTAGGTGAGTGATGCCCAGGCCCAAGTGAGCACGGGGAGCGTGGGAGCTGGCCGATCTCATTGGGAAGGGGTGGTAGCCGGGCCCTCTTCCCTTGACTCTGCCTCCCACCACCATCCCAGGTGGGGATCTGTACACGGGCCTCACCGCTGACTTCCTGGGGCGTGAGGCCATGATCTTCCGGAGTGGAGGTTCCCGGCCAGCCTTGCGTTCTGACTCTGACCAGAATCTCCTGCATGGTGAGCCCAGGGGTCTGCTGAGGGCAAGGCTGGCTGGAGTCTGCCCCTGGCACTGGCAGGGAGGCAGGAGAGTTGATGCTGGAGTGGAGACTGGAGGGGCGGCCCATCCCCACTCTACTCCCTGGGACTACAGCCTCCAGTGGGGTCCCTGTACCTCTCCCCCTCCCCATGGGTGCAGCCCCCTGTCCTCCCCTGTGAGGCCCCCCACCAGCTTCACCATGTCACCTCACAGATCCCCAGTTTGTGATGGCTGCCCGGATTGCTGACAACTCAGACCGGGATGATGACAAGGTGTACTTCTTCTTCTCGGAGACTGTCCCCTCGCCAGATGGTGGCCCAGGCCATGTCACTGTCAGCCGCGTGGGCCGTGTCTGTGTGGTGAGAGCTGTGAAGGGGCAGTAAGGTTCAAGTCGTTGCCACACACACCCCCACTTCCTCGACCTGTCCTCACCTGCAGTAGTAGGGAAACTGCGGAAAGGGTGTGAAGCCAACGTCCATGCCTTTCCCCCTAAGGGTGAAGGTTTAGGAGCAGGAGGAGGGGCCTGTCCTCGTGGGCCCAAGGCTGACTCTGCCCTCCCCCCCACAGAATGATGCTGGCGGCCAGCGGGTGCTGGTGAACAAATGGAGCACCTTTCTCAAGGCCAGGCTAGTCTGCTCGGTGCCCGGCCTTGGTGGTGCTGAGACCCACTTTGACCAGCTGGGTAAGGGGCAAGCCTGGGTGCAGGAGTAGGGAGGGCTCAGAGCCAGTCGGTGGGGGTCATTGGCAGTGGCCTTCTGTCTCCCAGAGGATGTGTTCCTGCTGTGGCCCAAGGCAGGGAAGAGCCTCGAGGTGTACGCGCTCTTCAGCATGGTCAGGTGGGCACACCAGCCTCCCCTCAGCCCCCACCCCTGGCCTGGTCTCTGCACCCTCAGCCTCCTCTGTTGAGCCTCTGCCTCATGTCCCGGCCTCACCGTGGGTCCCTGTCTCTGTCCCTGACACGGGGACTCTGTGGCTGTATTCTCTGTCTCCCTCTCTTTGCCTTTGCCTGGATGTCCTTGTTTTTCGGTTTCTGCTGACAGCAGGCACTGTTACCCTCTGCTCTGGCCATGGAGCCAGACTGTCCCCTTCCTGCCTATGATGGCCGACCTGGCCTGATTGTCCCTGTCCGCCCGCGGCAGTGCTGTGTTCCAGGGCTTCGCCGTCTGCGTGTATCACATGGCAGACATCTGGGAGGTCTTCAAGGGGCCCTTTGCCCACCAAGATGGTCCCCAGCACCAGTGGGGGCCCTATGGGGGCAAGGTGCCCTTCCCTCGCCCTGGCATGGTGAGTATGTGCCCAGGGCCAGGCCAGGGAAGAGGGCTGAGTGGGTGCTAGGAGGGACTTCAACTTGGGAAAGCCTTGTGCCTGCATGCAGCCCTATGGCAGCAGCTGAGCTGGGGCTCCAGAGGTGCTGGGCGGGGTGAGGAGGGGAGCAGAGCTGTGACCATGTTAAGGAGCCCCCCTACAGGGAAAGTGGTCCCTCTGAGTTGGTGTGCCCTGGCAGTAAAGCGTGGAAACAGGTTGGGGTGGGGAACTGGCCATCCCAGGGTGCTTTAGGCACTCCCTTTGCTGCTGCCCACAGTGCCCCAGCAAGATGACTGCCCAGCCAGGACGACCATTTGGCAGCACCAAGGACTACCCGGACGAGGTGTTGCAGTTTGCCCGAGCCCACCCACTCATGTTCCGGCCTGTGCGGCCTCGGCAGGGCCACCCTGTCCTTGTCAAAACCCACCTGGCTCAGCAGCTGCGCCAGATTGTGGTGGACCGAGTGGAGGCAGAGGATGGGACCTACGATGTCATCTTCCTAGGGACTGGTGGGTGGGCTGAGTGGGGTGGCCAGGCTGGGGAGGTGTGCAGGGGCCCAGGCTGCTCCTCCCTCTCCTACTGACCCCTTCTCCCCTGCCCCAGACTCAGGCTCTGTACTCAAGGTTATCACCCTCCAGGCTGGGGCCTCGGCTGAGCCTGAGGAGGTGGTTCTGGAGGAGCTTCAGGTGTTTAAGGTGAGTGGGGGACTGGTGGGAGGGGTCCCCTCAATTCCTGTCCCTGGGTCTAGGCATCCCTACGGGGAAGCAGGAGCAAAGCACAGGAGGGAGATGGGCCTGTCTTTACTGAACCCACAGCCAGTGGGGATGAAAGTGATGGCCCTCACTGGTGCAGAGGCCTTGCTGCTGCTTCTGAACGACTGCGGGGCCTGGAGATGCAGTCTGTGAGCTGAAAGTTGGAGGCCCGGGGAGGGATGGCCAAGGTGAGCGCCCTTTGACAAAGCCCTGCTAGGCTCAAGTCACAGTGAAGGGGTGGGTGGTCTCACTTGGGTGAGACCCCAAGTCCCCAAGGGGTTCTGTTAGCCCCTCTATAGAATCAGGCAGGAGGTCATCTGTGTCAGAGGGACTGTTGTGCCTCTTGACATGAGATGGGTGATTTGGGACAGCTGCTTCATTGCTGGGAAACAGGGCTGTGGGAGGAACACCAGAGCTTTGTGCTTTCAGCCAAGCCTCCTGCTTGGAGGCCAGCCAGGGTGAGGGGGCCTTTCTTGTAACCCAATGTCTGGGAAAGACCGTCTGGCCTTAGTTGCCAGGGTGTGCGCAGACCCAAGCTGAGAGATAGGTGACTCCCATGCCAGGGGCTGGAGGAAGCTGAAAGCAGGGATGCAGAGGAGGTCTCCTCCCAGCCCACCCTCGCTGAGACCCTGCTCCTTCCCCAGGTGCCCACACCCATCACTGAGATGGAGATCTCTGTCAAAAGGGTAAGAGCGGCTGCCTCCTTCTACCCCTGCCTGCACCTCCTTGAGCACTGCCGTTGTCTGCTGGGAAGCCCCACTATAGCAGGCCCTGTGGCTGCCTGATTAGGCCCTGCAATGAGGGTTGAGAGTCCAGCTGGGAGCTGAGAGGCCCATGCATGAAACCAGTGGGCAGTGGGAGGCCCCAAGTAAGTGAGGCTGTGTTCAGATAAGGGGAGATCCACAGAGGCCGCTTCCTCAGGGAAGGCAAAATGTGCTTAAAAACAAAACCCAGATTCTTTTTTTCTTTTTTTTTTTTTTTTATAATTTTGTTTATTTATTTTTTTCCCCAAAGCCCCAGTAGATAGTTGTATGTCATGGCTGCACATCCTTCTAGTTGCTGTATGTGGGACGC